GTACTTATGCACTTACCCACTTCCATTTTTGTGGCTTTGAAACTAGTAAATTTAGAAACAATTTATTTATATCAAATGGGAGGCTTTATGATAGTTATCATTAACCCTCTAGTTGACTTCAGGTTTCACAGAGGGGAAAGCACATCAAAGTGAAAAAAGTAGAGAGGGGTGGGGAACAGAAGAGTGAGTCACAGAGGCAGACGGACACAAAGGCAGAGAAAAGGTAAGATGAGTACTGTGAAGTGGTGGAATATGACATTCAATGGGGCCATGGCAATTTGAAGTCAGAAGTCAACTGCCGGTTTATAGACTTTTTTTGTCGTATGAGTATACGTTGCCCAGGGTGCACCACGTCTATCACACACCCCAATTTAGAAACAAGGAATTTTCTTAAAGTTACACTAGTTACTTTGAGCTGTAGTCTCTTTCTAAAGTAGAAACAATCAGCACAACTTAACTACAATCGGCTGCGTTTTCTTTCATTAATCCAACGCGGTGTAAAATTACGCCTATTTATAAACCTGAATTGACGAAGATTAGAAGAAGATGTATGGCCTGTACCTTCATCTTTTTAGATTAAGAAGTATTTTCATCGTTTTGAATGACCATGAGTGCGGATTTTACCAGCCAATGTGGTTTGAACAAAGCAGTTATCACATTTTAAAAGCTGTTAATGAATATGTATAAAATCTGCTGTGCCAACTCAATCAGACTAGATTGCCTGGTATTTCGCTTTCTTCTTGTCATAGCAACCTCAGAGTCTGCAGTACGAAACACCACATCATGTAGGATTCTTTTCTCAGTGCTCAGGAGTTGTCGAGTGCCTTGAACGTCAATGCGGACTACCATTTTGGTAGTTAATCTCCTTCCTGATTTGGACAGTTTCCAGTCATCGCGCATATGAATGAAGGGGGGGGGGGTTAAACTTGTAAAGCAGGCATGAACATGCCTATAAAATATTCCCAAATAATATTCTGTAAAATTTTTGTAGAATCCGATCATTCACCAATATTCTCAGCGTGTATGTTAACGGAGAGTCTAAGATTTTAAAGGAGGCATTGTGTGCATTAAAGCCTAGAAAATAACAACCACATACTAATTCATAAAATTTAGTCCGAGAACCCTTTATTTGCGGACGGGTACCATTAACTTGGTCAACGTGAGCGTTTGCTGTTATGCAAAATGAAACCAAGTTTTTAAGTTAGAGAAGATATGTAAGCTGTGCTTATTCAAGGCAAAACTATATCAAATATCAGAATAATCAATATTAAGTACACCTGGAAGAAGAATGAATGAGAAAATAAATAAATTTATTCAAGTCTAACTACAATTTTGCCATTATTTCCACCTGCTGCCATTTTCTCAAAAGCCGCGAGAACATCTTCAAAATCGTAAACCTTTTCAACTGGTACATGCAGTAGGCCTTTAACCAACCAATCAGCAAGCCTCTCGAGCCTTTCGCCACTCGGTTGAAAAAATGTCCACCTAAGAGGCGTACTTCCATGCTCAGAAATCAGAGCTTGGAAATTGGAGTAGATTAGGGAGGCAATAGACGTTGCGGTACCGCACCAAAGACCCCATTGATCAATAAATTTGAGAAGAGGAGGGTTAACAATGACATAACGAGAGGAACAATTAGAGGATTCAAGATTTCTTAACAAGGGAAAATATTCCTGGAACTCGATATGTTTCCATTCCGGAACTTTGGAAGAATCTTTAAGTATCTCCGGCCGAACACAATCAATAATCACATCATATTTGACATTTGGGTTAGGCATTTCTGGAGCAATTATTACCTAAATAGATAAAGTAGCACGTTAAAAATGTATTTGATTATCTTGCCTCATCGACACCAAGTAATGATTTAAGATCACTTGGCTTAACTCGGGGAGGAGCTGTAACAGTAATATGAGAAGCTCCTGCAATTCTTGATAACTGAGCAGCTACGGCTCCAACTGCACCAGTCACTCCAGTAACTAATACTCGTTTAGGAGCATCTTCAACACGGCCAATAGGATTCACACCGGCTTGGTATAGAGCTCCCCAAGCAGTCAAACCGGAATAACTTACAGCGGCCGCTAAAACCGGATCCAACTTCTCAGGCCGCTTAGCAACAGCCGTTGCTGGACATATAAAATAATCGGATAGACAACCACCACCAAGAGCACTAGTATGCGGCATTGTAGCACCCATAACTGGAGTTCCAGGAGGAAATGAAAATTTTGACGACACATTTGGCCCCGAATCTGCAACTATTCCAGCAAAATCGTGACCTGGTGTGAATGGGAATTCATCAGTGGGATGGTTTGAGGAACAAAAACGTCGGTAATTTCGAAACACTGTAGCTCCATAACCAGTGAGCATTAGACCATCTATTGGATTAAGTGAAACTGTTTGTGGATGGATTAGAAGATCATTGGGATTGCTTATTGGTGGTGTACGGCGAGTTCTTGTGAGATGAAGCTCTTTATCTAGGACACATCTTAGAGTCGGAGCATAACGATATATCTCCCAGGCGCGAGACTCGGTTGGGATACTCGCGATGTGCTTATGATGAGGACGAAGTGGAATACGAATAATACTTTGTAATGCTAAAATAAGAAATACTGAAAATTGCTAAACAACACAAAACCTAAACTTAATGTCGTATGAAAATGAGTGTGACTGAAACGATCTGAGACAAAAATGCTAGGTCAGAAATAAACAAATATTGCGACGGGCTCAAGAGTACTAACCATATAAAATTGATATATTCTAATAAAACGATAGACTGAAAGGACTTCAAGAACTACCCCATATTCACCTCTATCCATTTATAAGCACACCCGACCTTGATATTAGAGGCCAAGCAATGCTTCAAATTAGATAATTTTAAATTTTAGGGTAACAATTATTTGTGTTTGTTGTTCTCTGCGTTGATTTTTCCATTTTTATTTAAAAAGGGATTATACAATGATGAAACAAGATTTGTGGATAAGTTGAAAAAAAATAAATAAAGATCATTTTCTTTTAGATGTATCGAAATGGAGCAAGAACCCTCATTCAGTCAATACTCATGATTAAGCCTTTTAACTTTTAACTTTCTGTTTATAAATTTTAGACAGTTGCTTGGCACAATTGAGACATTAATCCTCAAGTGACTACGAGATAATTAGAACATAATTAAAAACTTGCCTCTTCCATTGATAATTGCATTTTGTATTTGAAAATGGAAATTGCCAGTTATTGCCTGGCAATTATTATTATCTAACTACTATTTATGGGTAAATTTATCATGCCAATAAATTATTTCAATTTCTGGAGTATTCTTAATAACTTATGATAGTATATTCCTTTTGACATAATTCCATTTTATCCTTTACTTAATTATCCCTTATTGAAGTAAAAAATATTAAATATTTTAAAATTATGATTTAATAATGTATTCGTTGTTTTCTCTGTCTTTTGATCCTTTTTAATACGGAGAACATTAAAGAGGGCATTGCCAGAATTTTTGTGACAATCACAAATATTTAATGCAATTTCAAAAAGATGAAGCCTATTCCCATTTAGGAATTAATATTTTACGAGGCTTTTTCATTTGGCTTAGAAAATAACCCCACAATCTCTCAGCTAAGGAAGATAATGAAGGTTTATTGGTAGCGGTCGCTAATTGATCTCAGGAGAAATTTTTTAATTTTCACTTATAGGCACCAAAATATTTTATACTTCGACAGCAAAAGTCGAGTCTATGTTACAACCTTTACTTGATCAATTTTTACTAAATTTTCTTGATAATATATATAACAATATTTTACAAAGATGAATCGACTGAGTCTCTGGGCTTATATGAAGGCCATGCGCTCGCCGACTTATAATATATGAAGAGCTAGTTCAACGTATTCCTTTTCTTAACCTTACTTTAACCTTTAAAGCCAAAAGTTCCACTTCAAACTTCGAAGAAAAGTCTATACGTAATTTCGAGTCATTGCTTAATAAGGGAACTTAAAGGAAAGAATAGACTGTGGCCAAGCAAAGATTCATCATTGGATTAACACCCTATCAAATCGTTCAACAGCCAACCGTTTATACCATGTACTTAAAAGGAATTCGAGCGAAATCATGAAAGTTTAAATCTGCTAGTTCTTGATGACTCTCTCAATATCCTATTTCAGAGTGCTTTAAATCTTTTAAAAAGACTTGGATAATTGAATGAAAAAGTAGCAGAAAATCAGGTAAGTTCAATGCGGTGCGAGAAAAGCAAATCACTCATAATCATATGAACTCCAATTGTTTCTCTTTAGCTCATTAGTCTTCGCAGATTCAGATAAAATAGTCAAACTTAACTTCCAGAGTCCAGGTCTTCCTTTAATTTCCCTAAGTAATATGCTTATAGGTAATAAACCACCTTCTCGAATAGCATAATGAATTAAATCAATTATACACGAAGAAATATTTGCGCATATTTGAAAAGCTAAATACACGTTTGGTCATCAATTTATTGATAAGCAATAACGGAAAAAGGATTATAACAAATAGAAAGTGAGATAACGTTGATGAGAAGCGATAAACAGTTGTGCCCTACCGGATGTGTGTTGGCTTATCAAAGTGAATTCGCTTAAATACACAAATACCGAATGATTTCAGCGACTAAATATATTCAAATCGATTATGATCCAGATACGATCTAGCAATATTACGCAATCTGGAAAACCAGAGACTGGTGAAACAACATCAGGTGACTATGAGCACAGGTCAATAACGAAAAGGCAGTATATGCCAAAAGATGAGAATGAAAAGGTCATAAGCAAAAACAAAATTATATTGACGAATTATTTTATTTAGAGTGGGGGGGGGGTTAGTGTTAATACATTTTATCTTTCCATAATGGGCCAATTTTTGTAACCGGCCAACAGATACTTTGCAGTTATGCTACGGACATGACTATTTTTTGTATAATGAATGATAGGGAAATTCATTTCAAATGGCAAGCATTTTGATAGTTATCATTAGCCCTTTAGCTGACTTCGGGCTTCACAAAAGGGAGGAACATTAAAGTGAGAAGAATTCGACAGGGGAAAAGAAGAGCGATTCACAGATGTAAAAGACAGACAGACACAAAGGCAGAGAAAAGGCTAGATGAGTACTGTGAAGGGGTCGAATATGACATACAGTGGGGTGATGGTAGTTTGAAGCCAGAAGTCAACTGCCAGTTAATAGACTTTTTTGCCGTATTAGTATACGTTGCCCAGGGTGCACCACGTGGAGGTAAGTCTATCGCACACCCCCATGATAGGGAAATAGGATTTGATGACAGACACAATTCTGATTCCTGTTGCATTAATTAAGGGGACAGTTTGGAGTAGTTCTGTTCAAGCGTCTATCCCAAAAGACTTATTTATTAGTCATTTTTGTTTTTTTTTTGAATTTTTAAAACTATTCGGATTTAAAAACGAATGAAGTATTATAGTGAGTTTGAATATCGTGAACAGGGCCTCACTCAGAAAGAATATCTCTAGATTGATATTTAGAGTAT